GTCAGATGTGGTTCGAGGATCGTATCGCTAAGTACATAACCTCTGACAATCAAGTGCTGCAACGAGACTATATTTCTCGCCTATGGTTACCAGACTCCTACTGCTACAACGCAAAAACCTCGGACCTGATGCTGCCCGACACTGAGGTTCATAGCGTCATCAGAATCGATCGGAGAGGCTTCATTATGTACAGCAGAAGGTAAGTGCACTGTAAATGGTAATGAGCGAGAACTGAATTTCGAAGCGGTTACACACTCAGAAAGGATCATTCATCAGATATCCAAGGGGTACCATCGCTCAGACGATATTTAAGTTCAAATTTATCTGTAAAATAAGAAATAATTTCTTACATGCTTTTATACGTCAACATGATGAAAAGCAACAAACATTTAATCCTTATATTAGGGATCTTTTTTTTTCCTTTTAGTACACACATTATCGCTTCATGTGAAATGGATTTGCACGATTTTCCTATGGACACACAGCAGTGTAAATTATCATTTGGAAGCTGTGAGTATTTATTTTTCTTGATTTTGTTTGTTATTGTTTGTTTTTTTGTAGCATTCATTCTCTGTTTAGTGGGCAGATCCTTCGCCCTGACGAAAGGCTAACGCTCGCACGTCAGCCTTATAATCTCTTATGATGACCAATTTTATTTATTTATCAAGCTAGTTAACCCTTTAAACTCTAAGCGTGACCAGCATCTAATTTCTCCTTACAGTAATATGGCTGAATCAATCCTTAAAGTCATGAGAATAAAGGAAATGATCGCCACCCAAAGGAGTTTTGATTGTCCAACAAATTCTCCTTGTCAGTACTAAAGGAAACGTAAATAGAAGAGTATGGGGAATGTAGATACTGATGTTAGGGTGTAAAGGGTTAATAAAACCAAATTATACATGAAGAAATGTCGAGGGAAAGTTTTCTACTAAATTATTCAGTTGACTTTCCGAAATTTCCACGAATAGAGGTCGATCCTCTCGGGTTTTTTTGGTTCTTTACTTTTTTTTTTATTTTATTTTTACCTGTCATTAGATGGCCATACAGACGATGACATTCTCTTAAAATGGAGGAATCCCACGATTTCAATTGCCAACAAAGAAATGGCACAATTTTCCGTCGGTGACCCGACGTTGTCCACTGAAGTCAACGAGTTTTCCACCGGTAAGAGTGCGAGATAAATATGATTAGCACGTATGTCCAACTGAACCCGCTTGACTGTAACTTACGTCGGCTCGAACACGAGGCGAACTCTCACTGACAATAATTAGGTGGTCCAAGGAACTTTCAGAATTTCGAGGAATGGTTAATGAAGTCCCTTCAATTGATATCCTAAGGACAATGTTGTCTTAGTGGTAAATACACTGAATCTAGTACACGAATTTAGACTGGTTTTCTTTTAAATTTCTTCAAATTCAGTTGGTAAGTTTTTCCAGCGTAAGGAGGCATTTGGGGTTAATCCTGAGTGTATGTTACTTCTGTAATTTCTGAGTCAAAGTTACTCCTCATTAGGGGTAGAAAGGGGGTGGTAGAGGGGAAGTGGGGGGGGGGGGGGGGGGGGGGGGGGGGGGGGGGGGGGGGCTCGCTTTTGAGGCTATCTGTCTCTTTGATTAGTTAGACACAGGCAGGGTCTGATCAAACGATGTTTCGAGAAGTGACTGGTTGTCCTTTCTCAAACAATCCTGACTCCTCGTCTTTCATTTTTCCTAAGGGAACTTCACTGTGTTAACAGTGACATTTCCATTCAAGAGACGCATGGGTTATTACATTATTCAGGTGTACATCCCTTGTATATTTCTGGTCATGCTCAGTTGGATCGTGTTCTGGATGAGGCCTGATGACAGCGCTAGTAGACTGACTGTGGGTATCACAACTATCCTGACCATTGTGTTTTTGCTCGGCTATACCAACGGAATGCTTCCCAAGGTAAGGGAGCAGTCTTTATTTATTACCAGGAGTTTGGGGCGATCACGAGGACATTCTTCTGGAAAGAGGTTGGGTTATGGTATTTTTGTTTTTGGTGGTAAATGTGATTTGACATCCCCTTGCATTATCATATACTATCAAGCCAAACGTTGCAAGGAATGACACGCCTGTCACCTAGTACTGACGTATTTGTATATCCATCTGATGATGGATTTACAAAGATGAGAATGTTAGGGAGAAGGGGAATTTCTAAGCATGCATATCGTGGAATTTAAATGAATAATGGATACAGACTTTTATTCGGGTCTGGTTAAATCGGAATCACAGGGTGTGAATCTGTCCCGTACAGTGTGCAGTTAGACGGCAACTGTCACTACTGAGAACAATTGTTGCTGCATAAGCACTTCATTTGTTATTAATAAGTATCAGATCATTTCCAAAACAAGATGTTAATTATGGTCCGCCGATTTCCTTACTGCCAATGCCCGAAACGATGTATCAAAATAAATACATATAATTAATCTTATTTTAATTGAAAAATACTAATCTCAACGCAATGTACCACGTGAGAGAAAACAGTTGAAATTTAGCAGCAATTACACCTAGCCATTCATAGAAACTTATAGATGTATGTAGTTCATACTGGCTGTGTGGATTAGCGACTTCTGCTACGACAACGTTCCTGTAATATTTTTGTCACAGGTCAGCTATGTCAAAGGAATGGACTGGTACCTGATGGTGTGTTTCACGATCATTTTTCTGAGTCTGTTGGAATGTATTGTCGTGGACAGGTTGTGGAGGGCAAATGCCAGGAAAATAGAAGACGAGCAAAAAAACAGAAGGACGATGAATTCTGGGGACAAGGAACCAAGGAAGGTAAAAAATAATCGAGGAGGGGGATTAAGCTTTGTTAATGAATTCTTAATTTTTGCTGAGTTTGTGAGGTACTCCAACGTAGTATATAGTACTCAAATCTGATTTGTTATACCTCATATTACCCCGTATACTAGTATGCTACGCCGTTCATATTGTGCTATGATGAGATTTTTTTTCCAATTTCCCACCTGGTATAGTTCTAATTGCATTTTCTCCCGAATAGAATTCGGTGAAGGACAAAGGAGGGTTAAACTGCCGTTACGTGTCTGGTGTGCAAATTCTGAGGCCACGAAAAGCAGATACTGGCACACAGACAAACAACGAGGGAGGAAATCGCCTGAATCACTGGGAATCAAATGAACATAGTGAACTTTTTCATATGATAAGAGATGAATACAGGCACTTGAGTCTTGGGGAGATGCGTCCGCCTTTGCCCGACGAAGCTTGGGTCGAAATGGATAAGGAAAACACACAGGCGCATTACGACACAGTTGTTCGCTGCTTCTTCAACAAAAGAAACTCTCGCCCAATGGAACTCTCGGCTAAGGTGGACAAAGCAAGCCGCGTCTTATTTCCTTTAACGTTTTTGCTGTATAACGTTGCATATTGGGTGACTTACTTCCACGGCACTAATGTTTTACCCTACAGAATATAAAATACCGGAGTTTAAGTCACAGGTTCAAATCCTGTCGAAGGAGTTCTGATTTTTTGCGGGCGTTTTCGACTCAGTTTATATTCGCATACTACATTAGTATGATAATTACAATATTTGACAAAATCGTAATTTTTCTCCCGCTCCGAAACCTACCTTTTTTTTTTTTTTTCGAAATAGCACTCTTTCTGTCGATTGAATGTAAATCACTTTCGATGTCGGCAGAAGACTTTTAACCCTTCCATGGCCGAGGTCTGAAAGCTAATTATCTTTACTAGAGAACATACTCTTTTTTGTAGCCTTTCTTAAGACAATATCTGAACAATTTCCCCCGTAGTTAACATTTCTCTAAATTCTCATTACGTCTCCTCTACACAATGTATTAAAATTGTAAATGGATCATATCTACGCATACTGATCATTGGTTTGAGTGAAAGAGTGAAAGCAAGCTGTAAATATAAACACAATAATAATGTTAGGATTTTCTGAACCTCTGAAGTATGTGCGTGCCTTACGAAAGAAATAAAGAGTATGCCATTTAGGTTATTCACAAGAGTAAGCATAATTTATTGTGCGTGTAAACCTTTTATCTCTCTGTCTATATTGAATTCAATTCACTATTCGCCTATTGTAATCTTGATGCTTTGAGCTAAGGTGGAGTAAAGACTCTGCCTCAATGATAATCCTTGTTTCAAGTATAGTCAAGTATTTGTTCAAAAAGGTTGAATGTTTCTAGATCTCTCTTTCTAACTTAACTAGCCCAAGGTTGCTTTCTTTGTTTCATTGTTCTCTCAAAAGTTGTTGGAGACCTTTGTTTATAAGTGTTGTGTAATTTTACGTTAGACTGATGTAATTATTTCTCCCACGATAATTTTTTCTTGGGCCTGTCAAATTACTGCTATTTTTTAAAATATTTGTAAGTCTTGTGTGTTGCAGTATTTAGCCTGGCAACTCGATAAAATGAGTTATTCTTCCATGTTGCCATTTTAGGTTGACTGAAAAAATAAAGTATATCCTTTTAGTTCAAACATCAAGCTTGAGTGAAAGTGGTTCGTATTTTCGTTCATACATTTCCCAAGGAAAGTCGGGTGTTCTTGCAGTTTTGTCTATACCGAGATATTGAAAAGTTTTCCAACTCGAAACTTCTCCCAGGATTAACACTTTTAGGAAGTGTACTGTCTCCGCTCTAAGACCTCCAGGAATCATCATGATGAGTTCATATACGTGTTTTCTGCTTTGTTCAACGGAACTACAATGACGCAAACCCGCTTTTGACCCAGATGGGATTTCAAACTCTCCCGTTATTAAAGCAATGGCAAGAGTGAGAAACCTTTTTTTATAAGTATTCCGCCAAGGGATAGGGTAATTGATAGTATATGAATAAGTAGTCTGCTTTATTCATTGACTTGCGTCGTAGAAGTTCATATTTATTTAGAACCTCGCGTGACTTGAAGATCCTTCCAAGTTATTTAATGCACGTGCTGCGTGTGCGTTAACGGAAAGCATGCTGCCACAGCATGTTCGTAAAATAAAGGGGATTATCTAAAGCTCTCAGCTGACGATAATAAAGAGTAACAGGCGCAAACAACAATAATATTTAACTACAATGGGAGTGATACCTAGTTTGCCAATGGAGCACAGGTGATAATGAAGCAACTAACCTTGGGTTCAATACAATGGCTTCCCACCTGACGGCAACCGTTCAGATGTTTCCCTGTGGCCAATCACCATCAAGAATTTTGAAAACAATATAGAAATTACCTACAGAGCCCCCTGGTGTTACTTAAGAAGCTTTTAAAACACGGATATCTGCTCTTGCAAAGACAAATATTTTCTAAGTTACCACCAACAAATTGTTTTTAATGTTACCAAATAGCTATCAAAAATTATGTCGCTCTGTTACGTGAAATTTAGGTATGTCATTACCTTTGTCGCAAAGCCTTGTGTATAATTTTACATTAGCGAGAAATAAAACAAATTTGAAGTCTATTGTTCAATCGCAAGCTCAAAGTTTATCACAAACGACTTAGTTATGCCGCGCTATCAGGAGCGAACACCTGCTCAGGCGTCCTACGGGAAAGCTCTAATCTGGAAGATCGTTTCATACATAAATCCACGATACTTCAAACTTCTAGCAGCACTGGAGTGGTAAATCAATTCATTACATTGAGTATTACAAAGACCTTTTAGAGAACTATCTCTGTGAAGATCAATCGGTTTCCCGCGTAGTTGATACTTTTTTTTTCACCTCTTTGTGGAATATTATTATTCCATATTACCTTACCAAAACTAAGAGTTATTGGAACGAAGGTGTCTCTAAACTGTATTTCGTCACTGTTTTAACACGGTAAGTACTTTTATGGGTGTGTGTGATAAACAGGTTTTGAGTCAGTTTGTCCGTAGAAAAGTAAAGGTTTGGTTGAGAGCGACATAAACAAGACGAGCCTACAGCCATCTCAGAATAATTTTTATTATAATACGGAATATCGCATTTACTTTCAAACCTCTGGAATATGTAAACAGACTCTTCTACGCTTTTTGCTTTACAAACTTTTTTTCCCACAGAACTGGTATAGAGGTGTTCGGTAGCGATGTTGAATCTTCGTTTTTTTTCAATGATCTGAACTTTAACCAAAGTTTTTGAAGAGTCGAATTTGCATTTCATCAATTCATCAATTCTTTCACTGTACATATTTTTTTCTAGAAAATTCTTTCAATTCAACTTCGTGTTTTTAGAATGACAAAACTACTCAGTAAGATATTTTAAGGAAAATACCTCTGTAAAGGGTAAAAATGCGCTTGTGTGGCATACCGGGATAGTCTTGTGGACGAAGAGAATATTTTCAATTGACAAAAAAGCTGCAAAAATCATAACCATTTGAAACAAAAGCTAGGAAGAAACGACGAGACGTGCTTGATGTTAATTATTAAGCCGGGTTAATAACTTTGAAAGCAAGCTGAAAAATAACATCTATTGTATATTCCATCACAAAACATGTCGGCTGACAAGGAACAATAATCAAGATAAATTATCAATTTGACCCGTGAATCAAGGCTGCATCGACTCAGGGAAGAACCATTGGAAATGAGAAAGATTAAATTCTACCTACAGTGTTGGCAATGATAGAGGCTT